CCCCCAAGCCACCAGAAACTTTGCCAGAGGGCGCGAGGGCTTCGGAGAAGTCCAGCCGCCTCCCGAGAGGGCCTTCTCCTTCTCGCGTCCCCCCTCGGCGCGCCGCCGAGTTTGGTTTCCGGGTCACAACTCGGGTCTCTGGCGGCCGCTCGGGAAGATCTAGACACACTCGGGACCCTCTCGGCGAGGCGCAGCCGCTGCAACGCACCCCGAGGCCGGAACGCCGCCGAGCATCGGCGAAAACGTCCCGAAACCTCAAGCCTCGACTCCCGAAACATCAAGCCTCACCCCCCACCTCGCGGCCGCCCTCGTCCCTCTCTTGCATGCCGGCCAATCAGCCATTCGGTTGCCCCGAATTGCCAGACGCTGGAGCGGGCTGCCTCTGCCTCGCCGCCGACGAGAAGGGTGTGTCCAACTTCCTGGTACCACGGGGCACCAGACATCTTGAGCACATCCCCGCACACCCTCAGCTCGAGCGCGCGCGCGGACCATCGAGATTACAATATCTCTCGCTCCCCCCCCATACAGCACCTCCTTCCTTTTCCGCCCTCCCCGTGCCCCTGCATTGCGGAAAAAACTACCTGTCGACGACTTACTCTGGCCAATCCCTTCGGCCAACTTTAGCCAAGCCTCCAGCCAGCCCCGGCAAACCCGTGACAATCCTCCCTGCAAGCCCCCCTCGCCAACAGTGGCCAAAGAATTCTGCCAATGAACTACAGTTCGGGCACGCGCTGACATGAACTACGGAGCTGTGGACCTGACGAGTGGGCGCCAAGTCTACAAGTCGGAGAAAGAACACCGTGGAACACGAGCACAGTGCCGCCCCACTGGGCGGCGGGGCGCGTCGACTTTCTGCGTGCAAGCGGAGCCCGTCTCCAGTCCGCGCCCTTTAAGATACGATTGAGGACAAGAAACCTTCCACAGGAAACCAAGCCCTGAGACCCCAGGACGTCCGTTGATTTCTGGCATGGGACAGTCGGGCCTTCCATGGCAGAACCCTCGAAGCCCAAGAAACCCAGGGCACCCTGGAGGCAGGCGGAGTGCTTCTTGGCATGGGCCTCCGCTGCACAGCCTCCTTTCAGGAGGGAAAAAACACACAGACACAATTAATCGTCGACCCCCAGGAAAATATGGGAAGATATAGGAAGTGGGGGGGAAGACAGAAACCCAGGAAAATATAGGAAAATATGGAGAATCTGTTTATTTGTGTATTTATTTGTGTGTGTTCTGGGGCCCCTTTATCCTCCCTCGACTCCCGCACCAGCTCCCGCCCACTCCAGGGGCAGGAGTCCCCGCCTGCAGCCGGTGCTTCTGCGAGGCGCGCCGAAGCGGAGACGCGGCACAGAGCACCATGAAGTCCACGGGGGACGTCTCGAGCACCTTCCCCCTTTCTCTGCCTCCTCCTCCTCCTCCTCCTGCTCCTCCTGCTTCTGCTCCTCCTTTTTCTGCATCCTCCTCCTCCTCCTCCATCTTCCTCCTCCTCCTCGTCCTCCTCCTCCTCCTCCTCCCCCTCCTCCTCCTCCTCCTCCTCCTGCTCCTCCTCCTCCTCCTCCTCCGCCTCCTCCTCATGATGATGATCATCATTCCTCCTCCCCAGGCACCGGCTTGGCAAACGCGGCCACGATGGCCGCCTCGACTTCGGCACCAAACTCGTTCGCCTCGCGCTCGACTGCGTCGGTGATGTGGCCGCAAGCTTTCCCCAGCGTGGCCACGTACTCGACGAGAGGCCCCTTCAGATGATGTATTCTTGTTTTTGCCGCCTTTCCGCCGACACCCATTCACGGGACCCCATCCACAGTGCAGACTCTTTTTTATCGTGGCCCAAAGCACGTGTGTCCCGTTATACCCATCACAAGATAAAACGAAGGCAAGCTACGGAGCGGCGAATTGAAGAGCATCGTGGAATACCTCTCTCACCCCGCCAAGGTTCCAACACGAATGTCTGTGATTGCCAGCCTGGAGCACCAAAAGGGAGTTCTCGCACTCTGAGTGTGCAAGTTCAGTGGTGCAAACTGTGTGCTGCATGCACGCTACGCATGCTGCAGGCAAGATTGTGCAAGCTATGTGGTGCAAGCGCTGTGCCACAAGCAATGTGGTGCAAGCTGTGAGTGACGAAAGCTATGTGGTGCAAGCGATGTGGTTCAAGCATTACAATAAAGAAATCATGTGGTGCAAGCTATGCGGAGCAATCTATGTTGTGCAAGCGAAGTGGCGCAAGCTGCGCAATGCAAGCTGTGGAATACATGAAGCCCGAGGCGCCTGCGAGGCGGCCATGGCCGCCCACCAGTGGCAAACCTCGGCAGACCCGCATAGCACGGCCTCCCAACAGTCGGAACCCCGGCGCAACCATCAAATCGCTGAGGTACGACAAAGAAAAGCCCCTAGATGCAAGCACTGTTTGGGGACCCACGACACGACCAGGCTAACACGCTGTGTATAACAGCACGGCACAACACCAACAACACGTCACCGTCTGATCCTCACGGCACGGCACCACGACATCGCACCACGCGGCTTGGCACCACGGCGCGAGATGACAGCGGCACGGCATGGCACTAGGGCGACACGACGTGGCCGCATCACCACGGCGCCGTGCCACGACACGGCACACCACAGCACCGTTCTGTTGTATTGGATGGTCTCCCGGTACGGCACCACGGCAGCCACGGTATGGCAGCCGTGGGGCGCGGCATGGCGCCGCATGGCACAGCATGACACACACGGCACTGCACGACCAAGCCACCTTTTATTTGACACGAGGCCCCACACAGCACAGCGCGGCACGGCGCGCCGACACCTGGCACTTCGGCAAAAACGGGAACACGGCATGGCACGGCAACGCGCACGACATCAAACTTCGGACGCCAGGCTGCAACACACTCACGGCACGGCACGGTACGGCAAGGCACCGCGTCATCAAATCGCGTTGTGTGTCCCACAACGCTCCACACATCATATCTGAGGCCCCAGACATCTCCATCAGTCCATGTCGCGTATGGCACAAAGCTCCACGCGGCACCACACGGCACGGCTCCGACATGCATGGTGCCAGGGTCGCTCGTGTCCAGCCGTGCCCTGGAGGTGTGGCAAGACGCGGCTGCTGGGCGAGGCCCAGCACCGCATGGCAACCACACGGCATGGGACGGCATGGGCACGGCACCAAGGCACAACAAGGCACGGCACCAACTGGCGACCTAGCCAATGCACTACGGCACGGAGCCAACGGTCGGCCAAGCCGCGTTTGGGCGACCGGCACGCACGGCACCAATAGTACGACAGGACATGACACGGCACCACGACACGGCACCAGTGCACGGCACCAATGCACGGCACAAGGCACGGCACCAAGGCACGGCACCAAGGCACGGCACCACGGCACCACAGCGGCACAGCAGCGCAGCTCGGCGTGGCAACAGCAGCGCAGCAGCAGCACCACAGAGGCACAGCAGCGCGGACGACCCGATCATGCTCTGGTGCGCGCGCTGCCGCACAGCACGGCACGGTACCACGGGCACGGCAGCAGGGAACGGAACGGCACCGCACTGCACCAGCGGCCGACCAGAGCACGCTTTGCCAAAACACGGCCTTATTGCACAACACAACACGGCACGGAACCGTTTCTGTTGAGGTCAACCGACCACTGCAAACTAAGAACACAGGCTTTGAAAAGGCCTCAGAACCTAGCAAAACACTCAAATCCCGGAACATGAACGAACGAGTGTCGCAGCCAATCTTAACGCAAACCATGCGAGCCCCCAAATGGGACTTCTGGTAACCGCCACCGTACGGCGGGCACGTTGGGGCGCTGTATAACAATAGTATGTTGTCTGGTAGGTTTCCCGTCGTGCTTCAAAGCCCGCCTCTCCCTCGCTGACCGCGCGCGTCCTCAGAGCATCGCCCCCTCTGAAACTGCTGTCAGGCGCCCTGTACGGCTCACATATGGCTCTAAGACAAGTAAGATCGTCCGAAACGGCTGCATGAAACCCGAAAACAATCTAAACACTCCCCCAAAGACCTCCCCCCTGAACGCCCGAGAGGGGTCCCCAAGGTGCTCCAAGAGGCCACAAAAAGAGCCCAAGAGATTTTCAAAGAGGCCTCCGCCGAGGCAAAAAGAAGCGCAACGCATTGGAAAAGCAGAAGAGCATCTATTTGTATTGCGTCCGAAACCCATTCGGCTTCAGAGAGCTTCAACAAGCCACGAAGGAAACCAAAAACGAGCCTCGAGAAAGCCCCCTGATGGCCCCGAAACTGCTGGAGAGCCCTCCAAGAGGGCCCAGCAGCGCTCCAGGACGGTTCCAAGACCGAGAGAATGAGGTCGAGTTGAAGACCCACGCGAGTTAAGAATGAGCGCTGAGGTCGCGTGGCATGAATACTAGGCTCAACCTCATTCACGCTGCGCCGCTGCGTTGTCGCAAGCAGGTGGTCGACAATTTATCGGTTTTTCGATATCTTGGAACACCTCAAAACGCGAGATTTTTGAATAAAACACCTACCAAGAAAACATTCTTTTATTCGCGGCGATAACGGGCGTATTGGGAGGGGGAGGGGGGGGGAGGGGAAATGGGGGGCATAACGTAACGCCCAACCCTCCCCAGTGTGGGTCCAGCACCACAAACTGGTGCTGGAAGCAATGCTGCAGTGCCGGGGACGCACTGGGGGGGGGGGGGGGCTGGAGAGGGCTTTGTGGGGTGGGGAGGGCATAACGCGCGTTTTGGCCCCCACTCCCCCACCACTCCACCAATCCAGGCCAAGCCCCCAGCTCTAGCTCAGCTCTAGCTCAGCTCCAGCCCGCGTTGGCGCCAGCTCCAGCTCCAGGCCTGACAGCCCAAGCTCAGCGCCACCTCCAGCCCCATCTCCAGCCCCAGCTTCAGCCCCAGCTCGAGCGCCAGACCAGATCCAACTCCAGCTCCAGCCCAGCTCGAACTTCAACTCCAGCTCCAGCTGAAGCTCCACGTCCAGATCCAGATCCAGGCCTGGTTCAGTCACAGCCCATCTCCAGCCCCACGACAGCCTCACTTCCAATTCCAACCCCGCTCTAGTTCCAGCCCGATCTCCAGGTCAAGCTCCAGCCCCACCTCTAGTCCGCGGGCGACAAGGAGCAAGTAGAATTGCCACAAGGATCTGGACTCTCACAAAGCATTTGGGGCTGAAGCCGCGTGCTTCTACATCGGATCCTATGTCTTGAACCAGGAGGTGGGTATGCGGAACCAGTCGATTGGAGGCCACGTGAGTGAAACACTGGAGCAGATTCCCTCGTCAACCTTGCCATGCCTACGCAGAGCAAAAACGGGGGCCTGAATGCCGACACCATGGGGCAAGCGGCGGCTGAGAATGGGCATCGATTGCCATGCTTAGCCGCCGCTTGGGCAGCGATTGCGACACCACTGGGCAGCATGACGCCACTGAAGCGACACGATTGAGCAGCGGTTGCCAGCGGCGAAACATGGCAGGTGCTCTTAAACGGCGGGTGTAATGGAGAGGCTGGGGCTTCTGGTGTTCAGGTGTCAAGGCGTCGTGATCACGAAACACACGCGGAGGGCTCTCCGTGTCCCAAATGGCGCTTTTAGGTCTTGACGCAGAAGTTTGGGTGAAACCAGGCGGGCAGGAGCAATGAACGAAAAATTGTGTAGATTAACTGCGTGTTTTCGCAACCCGAAGAAGGGCGCGCTTCAGCAAACGAATCCTACGGCGAGGGAGCTACTTGGGTTTCCTGCTTGCTCAAAACATCCCCGGCTTCACCTTCCATCCTCCTCCGTTCCTTTTCCGTGTCGAAAAAATTTTCCCTGTCGCGCCCCAACACCAGTTTTTAGGGCGGGCTGGGCGTTTCGCTTGAGACTTCCTCACCATTTATGACTCTTAAGCTTAAAAAGGACAAATTTCACACATGGGGGGCGGGCCGTTTTCAAAATGTGGCTCTCGCCCCAGCGCCGCGCACACTCGCTTAAAACAGTTGCAAGACTTTTTCACATGTTGAAAGCGAATCGTTTTCAAAATGAGCTTATCGGCCTTAGCGCCGCGCGCATTCGTTATGAAAATTGGCAAGAGATTCACGGATTGAGGGCGGTTCTTTTTCAAAACGGTGCTCTCGCGTTAGCGCGTCGCACATTCGTTTCTAACACTTACACGGGTTTCGTCGCACGGATTCACATGATCAGCGTACCATGAATTGTGTTTGGGAAGGAGTCAGGATTATGAAGGTGCGTTCGCGGTGTTGAAGTCCCACGAATGGCGCTCTGGCACGATTCAGGATCCTCAAGACGCAACGCTCGAGTCGATGCGCGGCGTTGGACGCAGGATCTCGAAGCTGTCTTCCAACGAGGCAGTTCCCTGTGGAAACGACACGCTGCAGGGGCCTGTGAAGAGGGAGCTTGGAAGGGGGGTTATCCCAACATCGTCGATGATTCTTGGCTATCCGGGCTATCCGAGCTATCCGAGACATGACGGGTTAGCGGGCACAGAACAATAAAACTAAGACTGCTCAAACCCCCCGTGAGTAAGGGGAAACAGGGAGGCGCAGAAGCCATGGGTGCCTCTGGGCTGCCTGGCCGAAGTCATGGCCGGCAGCAGGGCCGCGCGGCGGCGGGAAGGGGTCCTGCACATTCCCGCCCCCGCCTGTGACCTCCGCCCCCCATCCTCCAGGGTGGGGGCCTGCTCTCGGTTGCTAGGCAGGCGCTGAATGCGGTTCCGCTCGCGCTGCACCCTGACTGGAGGGGGGCCGCGCCTCAACGGCGAAGATATCCCACAGCAAAGGCCAAGGCTGGCGTTGGGTTGCGGGCCCGAAGCTTCGCTGCTCAGGCGAACCCGAGCGCGACAACCTCGCCCTCTGGGCTGCTTGGAAGCCATGCCAGCCTAGAACAAACCGGCGCCGCTGCGACAACACGTCGTGATTCTGCGCTTCCCAAGCGCTCGCGACAGCTTCGGATAACAGGGGGAGAAGGATAATGTGGGATAAGGGGGGCAAGGTGGAGATTGCATCACTCAGCAGCGAGCCGCTACCGATGGGCACCCAACTGCTCGGCGCAGAAAAAAAGTCACGACGGATCCGCGGTCTTTGCGTCGCGGCCCTCCCAGAGACCGTCGCGCTCTACGCCGTGGGGCGTCGGTGCTCTCTTCGCCCTCTCACCCCTCGCTTCCACTCGACGCAGGCCTCTGCTACTACGCATGGCCGAGGACCCTCTCATAGACGCGGCCCACTATGTCTCTGAGCTCCTGCTGCTTGGTCATATACTCGTTCTGGCCAGCGCGAGAATTTACCTTCAGCCATTCGGAGACGCGCGTCCCGTCCTTGCCAAGTGGCCCAAACTCATTCACGACAGCCGTGTTCGTCGTCTTTAAGTTGGGCAGGTTCCCCCTCGCGCAGTGGCAATAGTTCTCGAGGTTGGTCTTCGCCTCCAACGACCCGGTCGCCCCGCTTGTGTCCGCCATCGCCTCCGTCTTGAATTTGGCGCACCCGTAGCTCAGGGTGCTAATCAGCCCCCCCCGCTGCATCTCCGCCCCCTGATGGATCTGAATGGAAGAGTGGCCGTCCAATACATCCTGCTTATTTGAGTCGGACTTGCGCTGCCGTGGCTGCCCGCGGCGGGAAAGGGTCAAGATGTCCGCGCGCAGCTCCAGCAAGATAGACTCATGGTCGCCCAGCCTGCCCGCGAGTGAAATATCATTCGGTTCGCCTGGGGAGCTGAAAGATGCAGCGCCATCTCTGCCTCGCTGCCCGTTGCCCCCCAGGTTGGGAAGCTGGCACTCGGCGCTTCGCCGCCCGCTCGGCAATGAGATCTGCGATGAAGAAGGTGCCATGCCTGCCACTTCCTGCTCTGACGAAGCGCTAGGCTCGCCCGCGCGCGAACCGCGCAAGATCTCGACATCCCCCACGAACTCCTCCACCGACATGCCGAACAACGCAGGGCGCGATGTCAGTTGTTGCCAGCTTCTTTTCCGGATCTTGTTCGGGGTATTGCGGCGCGCCGAACGCCGCGCCGCCTGTTGGAGCCGCTGGAAATGCACCTCGCTCGATTTGCAAGGAGGCGAAATCTACGGCAGCGGCGCCCATGGAAGCACAGGAGAAAGGAAGTGAAAGTGGTGCAGAACAGCGCGCGCCGAGCCTTGAGCCAAAAATGGCTACGGACTGATGACTCTTGGGTGTGCACTGGTCCCCCTCCCCCCCCGCCTCCTCCTCCTCCTCCCTCCTCCTCCTCCTCCTCCTCCTCCTCCTCCTCCTCCTCCTCCTCCTTCTCCCCCTCTTCCCCCCCCCCCTCCCCCTGACATTGCGCTGCGCTGGCCGCGCGCCCCCCCGTGCACTTCCTCTGCGCGGGCCCCGCTCACGACAGCCAGCACGGGGCCCACGAACGGACTTCCCGCGCGCATTTCTGGGGTTCCAGATCCTGGGCGCACGCCCGCATGGGCGGGGCGTCGCGCCACTGCAACCGCGCACCCGCGCACTCGATCTATACATATATATATATATATGTATACACACGCATGTAGCAATATATGCACACAATTTCGACTCAGCGGGCCCCGCGGCGACCGCGAAGTTGAACCCAGAGCGACTTCGCACAGGGCCCTGCGACATCAGAGCTCGCAGGGCCCCATAGCCTGGGAGCTGAAACCCTGCTTTTGCAATGAACTACAAAAGAGAAGCAATGCAAAACAAGTGAACAAACAAGCGACAAAACGCGTGTCCCGGCTCTCGCAAAAACAAAAGTTTTCTCACGTGGAGCTCTTGCGCTGGCCCGCTTTGCCCCCCGCCGGCGGCCCAGCGCGCCCCCGCGGCACAAGAAACGCTATCTTCGAACATCGGCATCTTTAAAATGGCCTGGGAGCTGGGGGCACGCGGCTCTACGTGCGACGCGGCAGCCTCGGAGCAGGTGAAAATTGCCGAATCCAATGGATTGGGAGCTGGAACAACGAATGTTGCACTGGGTCCCGTGGCCAGGGGGGAGAAAGCAAATATTTCGGATAACTCCAACTTCAGCTTCAGGCCGCCCCCAGCTTCGGGCCCAGCTCCAAGTCCACTTTGGGGGCTGCAAGGCACAGTCCTCGCAAGGGCAACGGCTCCTTCGCGTGGAACTGATTTGCATCGGCCTGCCCGGTCTTCCCGCGGGCCGCATTGCGCCCCGGCGGATTGACGATCTGGACTCTCGCGGGCGCCGCCGGGCTGAAACCGCGCGGTCTCGCATCGGACCCCTCGACCTGCGAGCTGGAACTGTTGGTTTTGCGGCGGGCCCCGTGGCTTAGGAGGTGAAACCGCCCGCCCGCGCGCTAGCCCCCTGGACTTCGGGGCTGGGGCCGCGCGCCTTGCCGTTGGCCGCCGTGGCCTGGGAAGATTCGCAATGTGATAATGCGGCCTAACGAGGGGCCTTCGTCTTTGCGTTTTTTCTTGGGGCGGCAGGGTGCTCCGCTCTGGGGCGACGCTGCCCGCTCGACCCCCCCCCCCTAATTGGCGGGGCGCGGGAATCGCGAGCGCGCCCCACAAAACCGCGGCCGCGCGCGAGAGGCAGAAAATCGCCCCCGCGACGCAGAGCAAATCCTCTTCAGCACCTGCCCGTTTTTAGCGCTGCAAAACAAGAGCGAGCCCGAGGCCGCCACGGTGCAAACCGCGCATGCCCACGACGCCCGAGGCGCAGCGGCCCAGCAAACAGCGGATCCAGGCAGAGCAAGGAGGAGTAGAAGGAAGAAGATCCCTCTTCACAGGCCCCAACAAGAATTCATCTGCATAGACGGAAGCGTCCCGTAGGGGGCCAACCGTTTCAAAGTCGCGAACTCTGCCAGAACGCGCTTCCTGGCACTTCAGCGCCGCGAATCATCGTTACTGTTGCGCTTTGACGATCCTGATTCGCGCCAGAACACCAAACCGACCAACCCTTGGACTTCGGCGCCTCGAATGCAAGCGCGCGCTGCGCCCCGACGATCGCGTCGCGCCATAGCGCGGGCGCTGGGAGGCCCGCCGCGAGGAGCCCCGAAAGGACTGAAAACTCTCACACGGAATATGGTCGGCGCTAGGCGAGAGCCATAGCTTGGGAAGGAGTCGACCCCCACCCGCGAAACTCTCGCACCTCCTTAAAGCGAACGTGCGCGGCTGCAAAGTGAAAGCACTTTTTTTGAACAAAGAACCGCCCTCCATCCGCGGCGAAACATTTGCCAAGTAACAGCATATATATATATATATATATATATATATATATATAAACTGCGCTAAAGCGAGAACCACATTTAAAAAACGACCCGCCCTCCATCCGTGAATCACATGCTAATTTTCTGCCGGAGGATGGGCCGCGGCTGCCATTCCAGGCGCGGGCCCGGAGAATTGGCGGCGCGTTGGCCCAAGATGCGCAGGAATGCGCCCGGCGCCGCGCGCGCGTTCAATCGCAGGCCCGCGCCCCTGAAGCACCCCGGCAAAGTGGCAGCCCGATGCGCCGAGGTATCTGTCGCCAAATCCTCGGTCCCACATTCTTACAACCTGGCTTCCACAGTGAATCATAGCGAGCTTCCGCATAGCAGCAAGGCATCGTGGGCGATGGCATCCGATTCGCGCGGTTCGCCTGCGGGGCGGCTGGCGCAGCGAGCATCGCCCAATCTAGCCTTCCAACATCGCGATCTTCCGCAACAGAAGCCGCAATTAGAGTAGGCGCTCGAGGCGTGGATTTTGAAGCGCACTCAGAATTGCGGGCGAATTTGACCCACGTGGGTTGGGCGCTGTCCACGCGTCATCGCCGAATACTCGTGCATATGCAGTGGGGGAGGGCCACCTGACCAGCGCCATATCCTCAATTTACCCAAATCGGAACGAACTGCGACATGTCGTTTCACCGCGCCAGCATCAATTCTACACGCAGTAGCTACCCGAGCCTCAGCCGCGTAAAAGTCGCCCAAGCAGCTGACGCCAATTCTTGTGGATTAGAGAGCCCGTGCCGGTTCTTCCAAGCCGTCGCGTTGCGCGGTGCTGGCATGCGCGGGCAACCTCGTTCCCCCGCCTCGCCTTGGACTATCGCGTGGGGACCCCGAGCGGCGCTGCCGAAAAGAACCCTGACTCAGTCGAGTATACATCCCAGACTAGGCAGGAGGTGCTGTAAAACTGGAGCGGCCTGCAATGCCACTGGGATAGCGGACCTCTTGACGTGGTCAAAAACGCAAGTCCCATCCAGACTCGCAATGAGACCGTCCAAATCGTTGCCCACGACGCACTGCAATGCGTGCCAACGCTGCCGTGCCTGCAGGCGCTTAGAATGCAAATTGGGGGGCGCCGTCGCGTTCGTCAAAAGCGCGCTATACTATTTCAAGATGGCCTTGAAATCCAATCGCCTCAACGCTCACCCCGCCGCAATACCCCGCACTTCCCCTGAATCTGTCCGCGAAGCAACCATTCGTCTAAATCGGGGCAGTGCTGCTTGGGGCGGGGCGTCCGCCCAGGCGCAAAGATGACCCCGAGGCCGCCCGGTCGCCCGCATCTCACGCCCGGCTAGTCCGGCGCGGGCCCGCGCCCAGCGAAACGAAACGCTCGCATTAGGTGTCGTCGATCGAGCCACAAAAGAGCGATCGGATGAAAGTTCAACACCTCCTCCGGGATCGAGTCGCCGAACTCCGAGGCTTGAGCTCCTGGGTCGTGGAGTTCCGCCGAGGTTTCTGGTTCACCTGGAGCCCGCCCGATCGAAGTCAACAAAATTCGAGTTCGAATGATCTCGCACCTTGACATTATGATTCGTCGCTCTTCGTCGCTTCGCACCGTCCATCCAACTGTCGCGTGACTGTTTCTGCCGAGCTGGCCGTGTCAAATGGCCTCGTATATGGGCCGCCTATAAAATCCCTGTATCGACGAATTTGATTCTGAAGCTCAAACTTTCCCTCTTCGGCGCTGCCCTTGGTTTGGCGCGACAGCGTCCGCGGAGTCAATGCCGCCAGTTTCGAAACCGCTGCTGCTGGTTGTCGCTGCCACCACTATCAAAGCCCCGTTTCGAACGCTCTCTGGGGGCGCCCTTGAGACCGGCGGGGGGGGGGGGCCCAAATGGGCCGCGCAAGCTTCGAGAGCCCAGCCTCAAGATCCCAATCTCCCAGAAATGCCCACGCGGCCAATGGCGTAGTTCTGGACGCAACGCCTCGGCCCTGACAGGCTCCAGGTGGGAGAAAACGTCGTTGTCTTCGATGTCTTCTCTCTTCTCCTCTCCAGTGGGGGGGGGGGCGGGGCGGCGCATTCGCATTCTTCAGACTGCATATAGGAGAAAGCACTTGCCCGCTTTGTTTTGCACATTCTCGCAGCGATGGCGCAGTAGACTCTGTCCGCCCGCCGGGGTGCTGCTGAGGGTGCCGCCACCTCACCGAATGGCCAGTCTTGCGCGGGGGACCTGGGGGCTACCCCTGCCCTACATAAGGCGTCGCGCGCGCCCTGTGCGCCTCCAGCCGCAAGCGCAGCCCGCTCGCTGATTGCATTGGAGGCCCCATCAGGGACTAAATCGCTCAAGTACAGAAGTTTGATCGCCACTTGGGGCGCGGCCAGCGGAGGCAGAATAATCTCGAAATCCGCGCAGGCCTTTTCAGACTGAGCGTCTCCCACTTGCCCGCCACTGCTGTCGCCATGTAGTTCCACCCTGCCGTCGTCGCCGTTGTCGTCGTCGTCGGCGGTGGCGGCAACGTCGGCGTTGGCGTCGGCGTCGGAGTCGTGGTCGTCGTGGTGGTGGTGTTCGTGGTGGTCGCGATGGTCGTGGTGGTCGTGGTGGTCGTCGTGGTCGTTGTGGTCGTCGTGGTCGCCGTGGTCGTCGTGGTGTTCGTGGTGTCGTGGTCCTCGTCGTGGTCGTGGTCGCCGTCCTGGTCGTCGTCGTGGCCGTGGTCGTGGTCGTCGTCGTGGTCGTCGTCCTGGTCGTCGTCGTGGTCGTGGTCGTCGTCTTAGTCGTGGTGGTCGTGGTGGTCGTTGTCGCAGTCGTGGCCGTGGTCGTGGTGGTCGTGGTGGTGTCATCGTCGTCGTAATCCTGGTCGCCGTCGTGGTCGTCGTCGTGGTCGTGGTCGTGATCGTTGTCGTTATCGTAGTCGCGGTCGTCGTCGTTGTGGTCGTCGTCGTCGTCGTGGTCGTGCTCCTCGTCGTGGTCGTTGTCTTGGTCGTCGTCGTGGTCGTCCTCGTGGTCGCCGTCGT